CTGGGGACATAAGGGTGGGGGGAGTTGGGGAGTTGGGGGAGTGTTTCTATTGGCATCTAGTGGGTAGAGCCCAGGGATACAGCTAAATACCTTTCAATGCACAGGACACCCCTTGTACCAAACAAAGAATTATTCAGTCCAAAATATCAGTAGTGCCGTGATTGAGAAACCTTGCCTTTGAAGAGTAATTCTAACATTTTAGCATGCATCAGAATCACCTAGAGGATTTATTAAGACATAAACTCTCAAAAGGGCTGAGCTCTCAAAGTTTCTGATGTATATCTAGAATTCCTTACAAGTTCCCAGGTGATAATGATGCTGTTGGTCTAGGAACGACACTGTACGAACCACTGCATTAGAGAACCAGTACATCATATAACAGTTTTTTTTTCTGTGTAATATTGTTATTTGTGTGGATTTTCCTGATACCTGTTAAAGTAGTTATCATTGATATGTCTTTGTTTTAGTTCTTTTGTTTAAATTAAAACAATTCAGGGCCAGACACAATGACTCATGCCTGTAATCCCAACACTTTGGGAGACTGAGGCGGGTGGATCACTTGAGGTCAGGAGTTTGAGACCAGCCTGGCCAACATGGTGAAACCCCATCTGCACTAAAAATACAAAAATTAGCAGGGTGTGTTGGCCGGTGCCTATAATCCCAGCTACTCTGGGGGAGGCTGAGCAAGTCTTCACTCTTGCGACCTTCATATTTTAGACTTTTATTTTTTGAAGCTCTGCCCCCTTGCAAAGGTGAGCTTCAGCTACCTGCAACAGTCACTTCTGGGAACTGCTTGAACCCAGGAGGTGGAGGTTGCAGTGAGCCGAGATCATGCCACTGCACTGCAGTCTGGGTGACAGAACTAGACTCCATCTTAAAAAAAAAAAAAAAAAAAAAAAAAAAGAATTCAGATGCAATACTGAGTGGGAAGCTTTGGAAAAGAGGTTGAGACATGGCATTGGCACATAAGCAGATGTTTGTAAGAGGTTCTGTTTGTAAGGCATATCGAGGAAGCAAAAGTCGGTGATCATACTTAGTATTTTAGACATAAAGATTTAGACTAATCAGTACTTGAAGATATTAGACCTGCTTAGTTGTACTATGATACTTTCTAAGCAGTAACTTAGAGACAAATTTTAAATGATCAGTTTTGAATTATAGGACATCGCTTATCCTGAATAAATTATTCAGATTTTTGTTTAATGTTTTTAGCATTTAAAGAACCAATACTGTTTTATGAACCTCTTTGAGCACATGCATAATAAAGTTGTGAAATGAAGGAGAAAAAAAACCTGGCTGAGGTAGCTAAAATAAAATCAGTGGGAAAAAAAAAAACCATTTTAATCAATAGAACATTAAACTGTGGAGCTTTTAAGGAAGAATTGTGATTTAGTTGTCTTTTATTAGGGAACTAATAAACCAGTACTAAAAAGAAAAAGAGAGTTAAGATCTGTAACTCTTTATATTGGAGGTAAAAGTTTTTTTTTGTTTTTTTTTGTTTTTTTGGTCGGGTTCTCGCACTGTTGCCCAGGCTAGAGTGCAGTGGTACAGTCATGGCTCACTACAGCCTTGAACTCCAGGACTCAAGTGATCCCCCTGCCTCAGTCACATGAGTGCCATCACACCTGACTAAGTTTTTTATTTTTTGTATAGACAGTGTCTCACTATGTTGCACAGGCTGGCAAAACAGCTTTTTATCTTGTAACTTGCATAACTCAGTATTCTGGATTAGCTTTAGCAATATTGTATAAAGAACGAAGCATGATTTGAAGCATCACTGTCCAATAGAACATGTAATGTGAAATATATATATACAAGTTTCATGTGGAATTTTATAGTAGCTACGTTTAAAAGGGCTAAAAAATAGGTGAAATTAATTGTAATAATATTTTTTAATCTAGTATAACTGAAATATTATTACTAATGACGTATTTTACATTTTGTCCTAATCTTCAAATCAGCGTGTATTTTACGCTTATAGCACATCTCAATTTGGATTTGTTATATTTCAAATAGCCACATGTGGCTAGTGGCTACCATATTGGACAGTGCATATTTAAGAGTTATGGAACAAGTAATAGCCCAATTTTTACATTTTATCGATGTACATGGCCCAGGACGGCTTTGAATGTGGACCAAATTAGTAAACTCTCTTAAAATATTATGAATTCTTTTTTTTTTTTTTTTTAGCTCATCTGCTATTGTTAGTGTTAGTGTATTTTATGTGTGGCCCAAGAGAGTTCTTCTTCCAGTGTGGCCCAGGGAAGCCAAAAGATTAAACACCCCTGGTCTGTGTGATCTGGCTCCTTTCATATGTCTGGCTCATTTCCTGCTTCACACCAGTGTATAGCCTTAGCTCTCAAAGGACCCGCTGTTTTCCATATATGCTGTTTTTCTTGATTCGTGACATTACATGCTTATCTCTTTGCTGAATGCCCTTGAATCTTACCATTCTACCTCTTTATCTAGCTAACTAGTACTTTGAAATTCAATGCAAAACTCATTTTCTCTGGATAAACTTTTATCCACTAGTATGCGCAATAAAGGCAGCAGATGCAAAGTTAAGATACACATCCATTCATGTTTGGATTATGTGGAACAGACATAGTGTTAATATCCATAATAGTGACTGAGTGTGGTGGCACATGCCTGTGGTCCCAGCTACCCAGATGACTGAGGTGGGAGGATTGCGTAAACCCAGCAGGTCATGGCTGCAGTGAGTTTTGATGGTGCTACTGCATTCCAGCCTGTGTGTCAGAGCAAGACCCTGTCTCAAAAAGAAAAAAGAAAAGATCTGTAATAGTAAAAAGTGTTGTGAATAATTAAAAGACCAAAGTTTATTGAAGATATGAATAAGCATGAAAATACAAATATTAATAAATGTGAAATACAATTTTTTTATCTATCAGGTGAGTAAATATTTAAAAGATTAATTGCATTTTTGCATGGTTGCAGAGCAGTGCTTTCCAACAGAAATGTAACACAAACCACGTATGTAATTTAAAATTATCTAGCAACCACATTAAAAAAATTTTATAAAAGTGCAGTTATTCTATTTTTCTCAATATGTTCAAAATATCACTTCAACATATAATCAATGTAAAAACATTAAATATATATTTAAAGTTTTTATCATACAAAGTCATCAAAATCTAGTGTATTAATTTCAGAACATATCAACTTTTACTAGCCATTCAGAGGGAATTCTTTTACATTTTTGGTGAGGAAATATTTTGGAGGACAATTTGGCAATATTTATCAAATTAAATATTCAAGTGACCCAGGATTCTATTCCTGGAAATCTGTTCTCTAGAAATAACATATATTTAAAGAATATAGACAGATAGGTATTTTTTACAGTATTATTTGTAATAGCAAAACATTGGAAACAGCTTAAACGTTCTGCAGAGGTGTGGTGAGATAATTATGATATTTCCAGACAGTGGTGGACTATACAACCTTAAAAAATATGGAAGCTGTTTATGTCGAGTTATGTGAGCTAATAAATATTAGATTATTTAACATATATAAAATGTTTAGAATGTGCATGGCACATAGTTAATGTGATGTCAGTGTTTGTTATTATTATGAATTTATTGATATGAAATAAATATTCATATGGAAAAAAATCTCCAGATATGTTAAGTAAAATTAAAAAACACCAACATACAGAGCTATTTATTATATGCTATCATTTGTGTAAATAAAGGGGAATAAAAAGAATACATATATGATTGCTTGTATATGCATATAGTATCTGTGGAAGGGCATGCAATAAACTGAGAACATTAATTATATTTGGAGAGGAGAATGAGGTGGTAGATAGTGACTTTTCACTGTGTCCTGTTCCTTTTGTATTTGTTCCATAATGAATATATTACTTAGTGTAAAATTGAAATGTAAATTAAACTTATTTCTCTTATTGAAGAGTATGCATTTTACCATTAAATCAGGTTCATTTCTAGAATTAGTATGAATTATTGTGGTTTTAATCAGGAAAAATCACAGGATTGTACAACTTCATTTATCTAGAATGGCTGGAGAATATGGGATTCTGGGTAAATTTAATTTTGAGTAATCAGAATTTTAATCAGAAGCATTTGGTTTCAAAATATATATGCCTTTTGAAAATATTTCTAAGTCATCCTTTTTCTTGTCTCAGTAAGTATGGCATATTGAACTTAACAGAATGTGTTGATTTTTTGAGGATTTTGTGCTTAGTCATTCTTACTATCAGCTTGCAAAAGCATAAGAAACTGAGTTTGAATACATACATTCTTTAAAATATATCCAACTGTACGTGGTGACTGACGCCTGTAATCCCAGCACTTTGGGAAGCTAAGGCGGGCGGATCACCTGAAGTTGGGGGTTCGAGACCAACCTGACCAACATGGAGAAGCACCTTCTCTACTAAAAATATGAAATTAGTTGGCCATGGTGGCACATGCCTGTAATCCCAGCTACTTGGCAGCCTGAGGCAGGAGAATCACTTGAACCTGGGAGGTGGAGGTTGTGATGAGCCGAGATTGTGCCATTGCATTCCAGCCTGGGCAACAAGAGTGAAACTCCATCTCAGAAAAAAAAAATAATATCTCCTAGAAAATGTTTTTTTAAAAGGTGACAACAAAATAACTCAATCCTAATATAGGCTTTGTATGTGCAAGTGATATTTCTCTCAGAGTTGAGCTCTGAATAAAAGGGTAGAAGAATTCTGGTTAATTTAAATTTCACAGCTGGGTGCTATGGCTTATGCCTGTAATCCCTGCACTTTGGGAGGCCAAGGCAGGAGGATCGCTTGAGGCTGGGGGTTCAAGGCCAGCCTGGGCAACACAGCAAGACCCTGTCTACAAAAGACATAAAATAAAATAAAAAATAAATTTAATATTTCTGACCGTTCTGTTTATCAAAATTTCTGGACAAATACATATGTTAATTTTATATTTTTCATGTATAGTTCTTGCTTTTTCACGGGCATTTATTGACACTTTTGATGTTTTTAGGATTTGGAGTGGATCAGTTACGAGACGACAATCTAGAAACTTACTGGCAATCAGATGGTTCCCAGCCTCATTTAGTGAACATCCAGTTCAGGTAATACATTTTCAAATTTTTCATCTAGTGTAGGTTATTGACAAAGAAATCTATTTTATTTACATAAAAACTAAAGATAGAAATTACAGTGAAATACACTTTTTAAACTCTGAAGTCTTAGAGATTATTTTTCTGTTCGGTTAGATCATTAGCATTTCAAATTTACTCTGTCTTATTTTTTATGAATTTTCTTATGGTATGTTGCGTAGTTCCTTTTATGTAGATGTTTCTCAAATATACTTTTCAATATAATTTATTTTTTGAAGGTACTTCCAGTAAAATATGTTTTGCTTGTGGCCCAATACAGTGCCTTGATGTATCATATTAAGTAAACCCTGAGTGATGATTGTAAGTTTTTTAACTGTGGAATATTCATACAACTTCTCAAATTTTTACTTTTATTTGGAAAAAAAAAATTTAACTTAGAACCTTTCAGGACTTTTTCCTTTTTGAAAATGCTTTTTGAGGGGAAAGGAAAACAGCCACATGTTTGTCAATGCTTTGAATGTATTTATTATCAAATGTTTAAAATTTTAAATAGAGACAGTTGGCCACTATGTTGGCCAGGCTGGTCTCAAACTCCTGGCCTCAAGCATTTCTCCCACCTCAGCCTCCCAAAATGCTGGTGTTCCAGGCATGAACCACTGGGCCTGGCTGAATTTATTGACATAGTTGGAAACCAGTTAACTCGGCTATCTTGTTCCATTTATACCATCTTTTTTGTTTTGTTTTTTTTTTTGAGATGGAGTTTTGCTTTTGTTGCCCGGGCTGGAGTGCAATGCAGTGATCTCAGCTCAACGCAACCTCCGCCTCCCAGGTTCAAGTGATTCTCCTGCCTCAGCCTTCCAAGTAGCTGGGATTACAGGCATGTGCCACCATGCCCAGCTAATTTTGTATTTTTAGTAGAGACGAGGTTTCTCCATGTGGGTCAGGCTGGTCTCGAACTCCTGACCTTGTGATCCACCCGCCTTGGCTTCCCAAAGTTCTGGGATTACAGGCATGAGCCACTGCACCCGCCTTATACCATCTATTTTAACGTTCTATAGCATTGTATTTTTAGTTGTTTGTTTTTATTGTCCTAGAGTACAAATCAGCAAATTTCCAGCAAGCCAGATAGTGAATATTTTAGGCTTTGTGGGCCATCTCATCTGTTTTGCAGCTACAGTGCTCAGTTCCAGTATTATAGCACAAAGGCGGCCCTACACAGTGCATAAATGACATAATTTAGCTGTTCTCATTAAATTTTATCTTACAAAAGCAGATGTTAGGCAGGATTTATTCATTTTCCTTCTGACTTCTGTTTTAGGTTAAGGGAGTACATGTGCAGGTTTGTTACATGGGTAAATTGCCTTTTGCTGGGGTTTGGTGTACAAATTATCTCGTCATGC